AGAGGAAGGCTGACACCCACAGTGAATAAAGTCCCAAAAAGCAGAAAATGGGCACTTTTTTTTTTTTTTGAGACAAAGTCTCGCTCTGTCGCCCAGGTTGGAGTGAAATGGCACGATCTCAGCTCACCACAACCTCCGCCTCCCAGGTTCAAGCGATTCTCCTGCCTCAGCCTCCCAAGTAGCTGGGATTACAGGCAGGCCCAACCATGCCAAGCCAATTTTTATATTTTTAGTAGCGACAGGGTTTCGCCATGTTGGCCAGGCTGGTCTCAAACTCTTGACCTCAGGTGATCCGCCTGCCTCGGCCTCCCAAAGTGCTAGGATTACAGGCGTGACTGCGCCCAGCCTGAAAGCAAGCACTTTTGATCAGGCACCTGATGACGGCAGGTCAGGGAACAACACCCGTAGTCAGCCAGACAGACTCAAGGATTTAGGCTGGGGTCCCTTGAAGGGAAGAGAGGCAGGCAGAGATAGGCATGTTGTACCCTACCTTCCAAGAATGGACAAATAAGTCCCAGAAAATTAAAAAATTAGCCAGGCATGGAGGCACAGGCCTGTAGTCCTAGCTACTCAGAAGGCTGAGGTGGGAAGATCATGTGAGTCCAGAAGTTTGAGGCTGCAGCAATGATCGCACCACTGCACTCCCCCTGGGTGACAGATTGAGACGCTGTCTCAAAAACAAAATAAAACAAAAAAATCAACAAATAAATTCTGAGAAAAGGGTTGGGTACGGTGGCTCACGCTTGTAATCCCAGCACTTTGGGAGGCAGAGGCAGAGGAAGATGGATCACTTGAGGCTGGGAGTTCCAGAACAGCCTGGCCAACAGGTGAGACCTCATCTTTACTAAAAATACAAAAATTAGCCAGGCATGCTGGTACACGTCTGAAATACCAGATACTCAGCAGGCTGAGGCAGGAGAACTGCTTGAACCCAGGAGGCAGAGGTCGCAGTAAGCCAAGATGGAGCCATTGCACTCCAGCCTGGTGACAGAGACTGTTGAAAGAAAGAAAGAGAAGGAAAGAAGAAAAGAAAAAGAGAGAGAGAGAGAGAGAGGGAGGGAGGGAGAGTGGGAGGGAGGGAGGGAGGGAGGAAGGAAGGAAGGAAGGAAAGAAGGAAAAGAAATTCCGAGAAAAGGAAAGAAATTCACTTTGGTCACCTCTAGTAATCCCTAACAGCCAGGTTTAGAAGCACACCCACTTCTGGGCAACTTACAAAACCAGGTAAATATCTTCTACTATATACAAAATTAATTCAAAATGGATCAAGGATCTAACTACAAGAGCTAAAACTACAAAACTCTGAGAAAACAGAGGTGTAAATCTTTGTGACCTGAGATTAGGCAACAGTTCCTTAAACATGACACCAAAACACAAATGGCAAAAGAAAAAAATAGATAAATTGGACTTCAATGTTAAAAACTATTGTAGCTGGGCATAGTGGTTCACGCCTGTAATCCCAAAATTTTGGGAGGCCAAGGCAGCCTGATCAGCTGAGGTCGGGAGTTTGAGACCAGCCTGACCTAAATGAAGAAACCCCATCTCTACTAAAAATACCAAATTAGCTGGGTGTGGTGGTGGGCACTTGTAATCCCAGCTACTCGAGAGGCTGAAGCAGGAGAATAGCTTGAACCCAGTAGGTGGAAGTTGCAGTGAGCCAAGATCATGCCATTACACGCCAGCCTGGGCAACAAGAACAAAACTGTTTCAAAAAAAAAAAAAAAAAGAAAAAAATTAGCTGAGCAT